ATTTCTGTTTTGTTATATTCACCTGTAGGTGCAATCTCGTTCCCCGAGCCTGCGATCCTCGGGAAGGAATCGAAGGCTCTGGGATAATCCGTTACCGGAAGCCAAGAATCCTGGCTAAGATTGAACTACTGTACGCATTCCATTTCAATGGCCAATCAGATTCCTCCCTGAAACGGATTATCCCAGAGCCTCGCGTTCCTTCCCGAGGATCGCATGCTCGGGGAACGAGATTGCTGTAGGTGAATATATTAACAGCTTATTCGGACGTCAAATTTGACCAATCAACGTGTAGGATTTGTTATGTTCACTTGTGCAAAAATACTAAATAGCTATGTATATATATCATTTTTTCGGCACACTCTGCTATATTCATATATGTCTCACCTCCTATTTCTATTAACTGTGGTCTCACATTACTATAGCTAAAGACGTACATGGTCTGGAGTGCTGACATAGGTATGGAGCCACCACCATTTCTACGCGAAAAGTTTCCACCTCGTCCCAAGCTCAGACAATCTACAAATGCTCTCAACGAAGGATATAAAACTGTGTATCAATTAGAGATATCAGAGATGCCAGCTAGAATGCGATATGGAGGTAAGAATTTACGTCCGAATTTTACGAATTACGAGCTAAGATTTTGGTTCAAATTAATTTAAAAGTGCATGCATGCATGCATGCATGAAGACAGATCCCATTTGTTTTCTGTCTTCGTCTAATTCATCTTAGGTTTTGCTGTAACTTTCGATTGACTCGCGGTTATACCACTATGCAATTTTCAATCCTTGCTTTACCTTCAGTTGCCGGTTCTACCCTGGTTGTATACGAAGGCCAGCTAGCGCCATATCCACCGGATAGCGATTTTTTCAAACTTTCTGAAACTGTCTGTAAATTGGTAACCCAGATTAAACTTTAGTATTTATAAATTAAAGTTTCTTTTCATTTTATTTTATTTTATTGCGAGGTTTATATCTGTACGAGTTTTATAGTTTTTATGAAAACTTAATTTTCTGAAGGCATTATTAGAACGGCTGAAAAAATCATTATCTGGTGGATAGCGCGTTTTCCGGCCCTCGTACAACCGGCCCTATAGTTTTATAGATATCACTACTGAGGTTTCACAACAATTGGCCACCATCAGAGATTTCATTAAAATGCAACCTTTTCGACAACACATGGATGTCCGAAATTGATCCGTTACACGCGCAAAAACGTACAAACCTGCAGCAGACTTAATTGTGCCAATGTTGTTACAAGAACTTATCAGAATGTGTTCGCACTGCTTCTTCGCAGCTTATTGACAATTTGCTACACATTGTCGATTCTATAACAGACCTGTTACAAGTCGTCCCAACAACTTGTTGTCGTCTTCTCCTCCGTCTTTGTGTCGGAATCTTTGATGTTACCTTCTAGACTAAACTAAACTAGACTAGCCTCCAAGTTCCTAGACAGTGCACTATGACAAAGAGGCCGTCACTTCCTGAAAATAATGACAATGGCCGGTTTAACTTATAGGCCACAGTTATAGGCGTTCGGAGGGGCGAGTGCCTCTCGTAGGCGGAGAACATATTGACGGCACCATTGCAAGAATAAAAATAGAAAATAACGTAGAAAATGATCATATAATTTTTTTCTAATCTACTCTAAAATGAAAATGATCATATAATTTTTTTCTAATCTAATCTAATCTAATCTAGTGGACGCCGTTAATTATCAACCTCCTGAGCTCATGAAGCATTCACCATATGCCACAAAATACTCTTGGGCTACCGAGGGTTGTAAGTATTTCTTATAACTATATATTTATTGAATATGTATACCCGAGTTATTCGTACCAAGAACGCGTCTGTTTTTGTATATTATACAATACGTTGTGCATGGTTGGCAAGGCCTTATGATTTTGTTCAAGTAATCGAACTGCACGCATGTAAAATTATATAATTATCCACCTACTGTAGGCCTAGCATCTAGTCTGACTATTTTAATAAGTACCTCCTTGTCAAACATAATCAGATCCATAGTTGTACATTACACTACGGAAATACCAGTGAGATGAAATAACCAGGAACTTTAACCCAAATATTTTATATACGTTAATCAGGAAATTTTAACTACATCTTATCAGGGACGCCGGAACTGGGGGGGGGAGGGGGTTGCCCTTTGCCAGGAGGGGCAAAGGTGCCCTTTCAATTTAAAGTGCTTATGAAACTAAATTTTCACCTCATTTTTTATTGTTTTGCTAAAAAGTACTCCTAGAGCGACGAAGAAAGACTTTTACAGTTTCTTCATATCTCATTCTCAAGTTATCGCACTTTTTAAATTTTGAGTTGTGACGTCACTATAGTTTGACTTGAGATAATGGCAATAAAAAGAAAGTCTGATATTTTAGTGAGTATTTAATAAAATTCAATCAAACTTGGCACACTTAGTGGGTGCAATGAAATGAACAATTTGGCTTGTTTATATGGTTGTTATGGCAACACACGCGTCCCCAGTCCCTTCTCTTCCAATTTCTATATGATTCATTTCCGACGAAATAAATAGTAATTTCTGCAATTGTCGCTTATTACTATAATACATGTTGGTATTGTGATCAGTTTAAACCGTTATAACATGCAAACATCCTCTGAAAGAGGTCTACAGGAGGAAATTTGTGAAAAGGAAGAGAAGAGACTGTGGACTAGTGTGTTGCCATGACAACCAGATGACCTGCCAAAAATTTTCATATAGGTGCACCCACTAAGTGTACCGAGTTTCATTGAATTTTATTAAATACTCACTAAAATATTAGACTTTCTTTTTATTGCCATTATCTCAAATCAAACTAGTGACGTCACAACTCAAAATTTAAAAAGTGCGATAACTTGAGAATGAGATGAGATATGAAGAAACTGTAAACGTCTTTCTTCATCGCTCTAGCAGTACTTTTTGGCAAAACAATAAAAAATGAGGTGAAAATTTCGTTTCATAAGCCTTGGCGAAATAGCGAATTGTCAGAAATGTCAGTGCAAATCTTTTACGAAATTGCTTCAGAAAACGCAAGAAATGCAGTCATCGAGCTTCAAGAATAGCACAATCGCCTGGCGGAGAACCCCCTCACACCCCTATCATCCAATAAATAAAAAACATGATTAGACGAAGTTCAAATCCCGATGTTTTGCAAACATCTCTTAGTATATATCAATTCAAAAGTGCCCTTTCACGAAAATCTGCCCCCCTTGCCTTCACATCGTTCCGCGGCGTCCCTGCATCTTATCATCGTATGGAAATTTGACGTATTTATTTTTCATTTACAGTTATGCGCGACACTTTTCCATCCTTCAGACATCATGACGTTCCACCTGTTCCAAGTCGGCAGGACGAACAATCAGCGAAATGAAAACTATTGCCGGCGGAAATATTCTTATATATATATATATATATATATATATATATATATATATATATATATATATATATATATATATATATATATATATATATATATATATCTTTTTATTGTATAACTAGCCAAGCAGGAGCATTATTTTTAGCTTGATAATGTGTAGTTTTAATATATGCTTTAATTGTGTGTTACAACAATGTTCATATTACTAAAACTATGTAGCATAGTCTATTAAGATCCGGTTGATCTGGAAACTAAACAGAAGTCATTCTTTTACGGAAACTAAACAGAAGTCATTCTTTTATGTTATTGTCAGAGTTTATGTTAACATTTGCCAGTGAGCTCTATATATATATCTGGAGCAAGAACTTCAGTCTTGAAAACTTAATTAAAGCTTTTTTTATGTGTTGGTGTTGTGTACTCAGGTGAATATGATATTTGTGATGTTACTCTGAGTGTATATCCACACCAGGCGAGCTTGAAAAATATGCCCGGTCACGGTGGGAATCGAACCTACGACCTTTGGAATACTAGCCCAATGCTCTGCCAACTGAGCTACGCGGTCAGGTCGGTTCGAGTAAGTGATATTTCGGAACAGAATCTAGTTCCTTCGATACCAATGTAATCTAGTAATATGATTTTTTCTGTGTTGGTGTTGTGTATTCAGGTGAATACGATATTTGTGATGTTACTCTGAGTGTATATCCACACCGGGCGAGCTTGAAAAATATGTCCGGTCATGGTGGGAATCGAACCTACGACCTTTGGAATACTAGCCCAATGCTCTGCCAACTGAGCTACGCGGTCAGGTCGGTTCGAGTAAGTGCATGATATTTCGGCGGAACAGAATCTAGTTCCTTCGATACCAATGTAATCTAGTAATTTGATTTTTTCTGTGTTGGTGTTGTTTACTCAGGTGAATATGATATTTGTGATGTTACTCCCACGGTGGGAATCGAACCTACGACCTTTGACCGCGTAGCTCAGTTGGCAGAGCATTGGGCTAGTATTCCAAAGGTCGTAGGTTCGATTCCCACCGTGGCCGGGCATAATGCCTACATGTTCATGCATGGTATCATAATTATTATGAATAGCTATAGTCTGGTAGTCCAAATACCAGACATTATTTTTCACCCTGCTCGGTTTCCTTTGTTCTTATCGGGGAATATATTCAATATTCCACTCTATTCAATTTCCGTTTAATAATCCCCTCTAATATTCACCTGCAATTAATAATCCCCTCTAATATTCACCTGCAATGTCTTTGCAGCACAAAAAATGAGAAAAAACAACATCGCAAAAGCAATATGGCATTGAGAATTATTTCTTTTCTGACTCATTAACGCGACCTCGCAGTGTGAAAAATAAGTACGTTATTTTGAGGCACCTCGGGGATATGTGTTTATTTGTGCCTCGGTGAATAAATCACATATCCCCTCGTTGCCTCAAAATAACCTATACATAAACAGATAATAAACAAAGTATGTTCGAACTAGCGTCGGTAAAATTGCTTCGGTCTCTCCTGAGAATTTTCGGTCCCCTTTGACTAGAAACCCTAGCTATGTCACCGTTTCCTTTGGAGACAGACTCAAGAAAAAATAAGGATAAACAGGTGGACCCTTTATTAAGCGGCTTTTATTTTTAATAATCTATTTAATCACATTTCTCTACATTTATTACTTTTAATTTAAGGTGTAAAACAGATAGTCAATAAATTTCAACTCGTTATACAAAACTATACAAATCGTTTTAGCTACAAATGTTATCAACCGTTGATATTTTAATCTAAAGGAAAGAAAAAAATGGAATATATTATATTATGTTGATGAAAAAAGCAAAATGTACAGTATTTGTGGAAAAATTTAACCAAACTTTTTTGGCTTATACAACATTTAGACGATACTTATATTTTATTATTCATGGCCAGAAATCACTGTCAATCATCGTTGGTTGTAAAAGACAGTTTTTCCAAGTATCTAGCTAGTGTAATTTTGGTTTCGTTTAAATTACTCTCGAAGGTCTGTCCAAGTATTTAGTGTATAATTTTGCCCTGGTTTGAATTAAGTTTACCGTCTATCCTTATACATATATTGTTCAATATTACACTAAATTATTCGGCAAATTTTGTTTAGAAACCACCGTTTCTCAGATTATGCGATTTACAACGCGGCGTTATAGTTACATGCAATCTACTATTTAGAACTGAAGTCATATTTCAAAATGATATGCAAATTACTAAGGAAGTAGAGTAATGGCCGTAATTTCTGGCCATATAAGTGGTTGTGATCTATACAAGGTGCATAAAAAAAGCGAATTCAACTTTGGCATACTTTTTCATTCTATAAAGATCAGGATTTTTGCTGTCGAATTTAGTCATATCTTTGCAATCAAAAGTGACCGAAATACCATTCGATTTAAAACGACCAGACGTAATCCCATCTTTCACCTTTAGGAATTAAATTTTCTTACAAATTTTGTAAAGCATGAGTAGCATCGCGAACTCAGTTGGCATTTTTGTGAAATGTTTTAACCCACAGAGTGGCAACACTTGGCGTCTGGCGAGTAAATTTATCAGGCGTTAGAAATGTAAAATATATGGAGGATCAGGGCGGATTGCCGCGTAATGGGTTAATCACTAATTTAATTTCGCTCTTCTAATAGCGAAATTTAGTGGTTAACCCATTATGCGGCAATCCACCCTGATCGCGAGCTGGATCATCTTTAAATTTAAAAACATTTATGCCAGTAGCTTAGTAGCTATGTTAGGCCATGTTTATCTGAATATGAATGCAAAATGATTATTTTAATTCTCAGATTTCAAAGTTGGATGGCCTTTTATGATAAAAAAAAACCTGCACTGTTATCACAGGTCGAGATATGGAGTCATTTCCAGTAGTAAAAATTTTAAGTAAGGTTAAACTATACTTACTAACTTGTTTACCGGCATCCACACGATTTTGCACAGTTATTTTTCATATACGTGCTATACCGGCTGCTGGAATTACAATAGCCATAACGCGCCCAAGTTTGACAGTTACCACTTGTATTCTTATCCGTACAATTTGCTGAAATTTTAAAAGTTCGAATTGATATTAGTTAAAGCGCATTGTAAACCTACATGAGCATAATAATGCCACAAGAAGCTAATTAATTAGTTTTGGTAAATACGGATTAGTCGACAATACAGGTTTGATAAATCATGTTGTTGCACAACGTTAGGTAAAAAATGAAAAAGAGTGTATAATATACCAAAATTGCTTTCTTGGTCAAGAAAAAAACCCTTTGTGTTTCCACAAACCAAAGCTTGCAGTTTATATTATACTATCAGATACCCACACCAAACTTCAGAGGGCTTAAAGTGAAATTTTCTTACCGATGGTACATGTTTTGCAGCAATTTTTCTTCATGTATGCTACGAAAGTTTTCTTACAATATCCAAGTCCTTTCCAATAATTGCAATTGCGAGCAGACTGTACATCTTGACAACCTATAAATAAAGGGAGAGTGATTATTCGTTCTGGCTCTCTGGCTGCCAAATAATGATCAATGTTGTGACTTTTGACTGTCGTCGGTATCCCCTGGTATTCGTTTTAATTAACGAATTTTAGTATAATCTCGTAACATATATTTATTATTATACAGTATATTATCGTAACGTAATTATTTGGCATTATACTTTTAATATCTGAATGCTCCCGAGGAAATAGTTGGTTTTGTTTTCTCGAGGGTCTTACAGGTAAACTACGTGAAGCGTTCCTCTTTTGAGTTTCTAAATTGATTGCAATTTTCCTCATTACTTTTGCAATTTAAAAAAATCCCTTGCAAATCCCTTGAGGAAACTTGCAATGTTGCTAAAAGCCAATTAAATTTTCCTCAGTTCCTGTTAGAAGTTCTTAACTTCCTGTTAGAAATTCTTAACTTCCTGTTCTGTTCTGTTCTGTTCTGGGCGTTGCAATTGGCTAACAAAAATAATCGACCAATAACAACGCTCAGAACAGAACAGGAAGTTAGGAAATTAAAACAGGAAGTTAGGAAAATTTAAATCGACGTTTGTTTGTATTGGAATATTGCAACAGTCGATAGGAACATTGCAAATTCCCTCAAGGGATTTGCAAAGAGTTTTTCAAATTTGCAAAGCTAATGAGGAAAATTCCAAATGAGTTACGAAGTCAAAAGAGGAACGCTTCACGTAGTTTACCTGTAACTCTCAATGTTTCCCGAGACGCCCGAATTAGTCGAGACAAACTATTTCCCGATGGAACAGACTTAAGTGTTTCCTTATATGGCAACAAGTTGCAACAAGTGGTCATCATCCGGATGTACCAATTACGCTGCAATGATGAGTAGGCTACTTCTTGAAGAACTGAGTATTATAGTACTGTAAGTTGCTGAATTGATATACTTGGCAGTCACGCACTGTTACAGGGGACATTTTAAGTAATAGATTAACAAAATATATTTAGGTTTCATAGGGTTCCAACAATGTTTAAACTTAAGTAGGATACATAATATAGTGTTGGGAAAGCAAGTTACTTAAAGTCTAACCAAGGTCACGTGACTAGCTGATAACTCTCATGCACTCTCCGGCATACTCGTTTGATCTGGGCTTTAGTCATTTGAAAGCAATATCCGTGGGCAAGATCATTTTTCGGCGGTTGCATGGGTCGTTGAAAGTGCTTATCAAACGCAAGTTTTCCCCTAATGATGGATATACAAGCTCGCCATTCGGGAGAGGTGGGGGTGGGCAACGCTAGCTCTGCCTAATTAAGCTCCCAATAGTTATTACACTAATAGGCAGCTGGCTACTAACATTATCTAACTGGATGTCTTACTATACATACCTGATGGATTCGGTTTAATAGTTGGTTTTACTGTCGACGTCGTTGTACATCTATAAAGCAGTCGCACTTGCTTTTTATCTTTCTCACTCAGCCCATTTCGCTGTCCTAATCTTCTGCCGGCTGGTATACTTTCAATTGTTTTTCGGCCTCGATACCTGGAAAACGCATAGGACCCATAATGCATAACACTGTCATAGTCGTATGGGACGCCGAGACTATTGATTCTGGTGGAGCTGTGTTTTTGGAAATTAAATTTCGTAGCTGAAAAATAATGGAAAATTAGTTGCATTAAATGTGGGTCATTTATGATGCAAAGAACGTACTCTGTGATACTGGATTGAAAGAGTGTTTATAACTGAGCAATCTTAAGGGAAAATGACAACAAAATAATTAGAGCCTGTTCGCAGCCTACAAAATAATATTCTCTAACTTATTCTGATAGTAATAACAAATGAGCTTTGCCTAATTCATGACAGCGGATCAGAAGAAAATAAATCTTACTAAGAGCACTGTCCTAACCATGGTTTTAAATTCAAACGAAAAGTGTCTGTGAACCATAATATGTTGGACGAATAGTGGGACATGCATGTTGGGGTTTCCTTCAAATTTTCAATTTGTAAGTCTTCAATCTAACAAATTTCCTGCAGCTGGTTAATTAGTATTTCCTGCACAGCCCTGCTCGACTATTTTTCCATCCGAGCATCTTGAACGTTTTTATTTTTACAGGCATACCTAACTAAATGGTGCCCCAACTAGGTCAAATTTGTCATATGATTTTATACATAGTTTTGAGATCAGTGGCCCAAGTAGATGAATGCATGGGTTTCAATTGTCTAGCGGTTACAAATTTTGTGGAGTACCAGGCCTTGGTCCCTTTCATACCTGGTATAATATTATTCCACAAAATAGTTACATAGCTGTCTCTGTCTGGGCGAGATTGTTCATGCCAAAGACCCATTGCATGACCTAAAGCAAAAGAAAATTACACTCAGAAACTATAGCTTAAAATGGCTAATAATTTAAATTCAGAATCAAACATATCAAAAATAGTGTTAATGCAAACTAAATATGGTTTGGAAGGCTGATAAACGTTAAAGAGTTGCACATTTAAGCCTCAGCTGATATTGAAAAGAATTTGTTTTGGAATTCCTATTGGACGAGGGCTTTACTGTACAAAAACAATACGTTCATTCCCTGTAAAAGATCACAACTTTCCATTAAACTTAAAAAGACATAGAACAATAATTTTTGTCGACTTTCAAAAAGCTCTTTTATTTTTTATTAGCTACAATCTAAACAATAACTTCTAATTACCAATTTCGTGAACCACAATACCATGATAGTGGCAATTATTGCCAATTGAAACTCTCTGAGCACCACCTACTCGACCAACTTGTGAGTAACATCTGAAATATACAATTTATTGTAAATTATATGATATCGGTTTCCGAAGTAGAACAGGAGTTAGTGCGAAAGAAATTCAATTTAAAAATGAGAAAGACAAAAAGAGGAAGACGTAAGAAGAAAAAGAAGAAGACCTATAAAGAAGAAGAGAAAGACCTTAGGAGAAGAAAAGAAAGACTTGAGAAGAAAAGAAAGACTTGAGAAGAAAAAGAGGAAATCTGAAAGGAAGGAGAAGAAGATCTAAAAAGAAGAAAAGGAAGTCCTAAGAAGAAGAAGAAGATCTACAAAGAAGAGGAGACTGGAGAAGAAGAAGAAGAAGAAGACCTAAGAAAAAGAAGAAGAAGAGAAAGACTTGAGAAGAGAAAGATCTAAAAACAAGAAGAGGAAGACCTAAAAGGAAGGAGAGGAAGACCTAAGAAGAAGAAAACGAAAAATACCATAAAAGAAGAAGAGGATGACCTAAGAAGAGGAAGAGAAAGCCCAAAAGCCCTGGAAGGATAACGTCAACAAAGATATAGAATAGCCTTCATTTTGGAAAGAAGATAGAATGCAAGGAATAGAATTAACACCTACCCTCCACCACGGAAAAAATACATATAATCTCTTGGTCTGGATTGGGATGTTACATCCCGCCATGAGCCCAGACAAGGCAATGTATCTTGCCATTCTTTTATAGCGTTTTTAATATTTCTTGTCACCCCACCTATAGAAAAAATAGGCAAATATTAACATAATCTCAATTACTGACTAGTGTGTGCTGCAGCTGCATTTCATTTCCTTGGTGAAACACGTTTTAAATTTTTGTGAGTATGTTCGAGAATATATTTATCTTTACATGCCCCTTTAAATTAATCTGGATAATTATAATCTCAACAATATGCAAATAATTAAATTGCCCATTCCTCGTCCATATAAAAATTCTGCCGGCGCCGGGCGCCACGTATTGCAATAGAGATGCAAGTAGCCTACGTCAAATACTTTAGCTTGATTCCTCCGAGCATAGACAATCATAGACAGTGGATTGACTATGCTTCGAGCTAATTTAACAAAATCCAATTTATTATGATGGTGACTATATATAGGAACTATAGGAACTGCAAAATTTGATATGCCTCAATTACTACCAACATAGAAGTCACAATTGTTGGGGCTCAAGAGCATGCTACCCTAGAAAAAAAATTGGGTCTCTGAAACGGCATTGTGGAGGTACTAACAGTCGGATAAAGGGCTTAATTCTCTAATATTAAACGTTACAATAGTTTGGATCAGATCCAATGCATTCATCGGATTTGAACAAATCTAGAACTACATTCCGAAAAACATTCGGGGGGGGGGGAGTCAACACACTGTCGCAACATCAGTTAAAACTTACGTAAAGAACCGTCGATAGCATAAGGAACCCTCCTCGGCCATAATTTATTCCTTGTTCCAATAACTGCCCGTCTTTGACGCGATGCTCCATTGCCCTGAATTATATTTATTGCTTCGCTTTTGTTCATCTCAATGTCGCCTTCGAACAGGAAGACATTCTCGTCGCTTCTTCCCACTCCACTGCCTAGAAAAGTAAAAAAAAATGATAAAGAAAAGTATATTTATAGTTATAATTTTATATAACATATATTTAAACTTTATTCACGATTGCAATTGGTCAACAATTAATATCCAGTAGCTGCCACGTTATTTCCGCTGCTGACTTGATCAGCATGCAATGATCTTTTTGACGAAGTTATGTAAAAAAAAATATTGCACGATGTACAGCCCAAGGCCCTAGCGCGGTCAGCTGCTTGTTAAATAACACGCGACATTTGCGAAATCAAAAAAAGATGGCTTTTAGTAGGTTTACTTCTTTAAACTAAGAGAGGAATTGTTCATGTGATTGCCAGAAAAGATTGTAACAGCACGAAAAAGGTCACGAAATAATGCAAAACTATTTCCAGGCAAAAGTTGTTATTACCTTTTCTCCTTATATACACGTTTTGTTTTTATCTTTCACCATCGGCTGCCAGTTTTAATTTTGAATGTATAATAAGTTATTGGATTCCCAATCCCACAAGACTTTAACACAAGTAGGGTAAGTAATGATATTCTAATGAGATTCTTTTGCGTAAATGCCCTCCATGTGCACTGAACTGTAGTATAATGAATGCAACCTTACCCACCTATTTTTGATATCATGCTTATAGAGTTATAGTCTCATCCAGTAATTATTAAATATAAAATAATATTTATCTAACAAGTTTATATAGAGTAGAATACTCAAACTGAAATCCAACCATACCTAATTTTAGTGTGCAGTGATAACCAATTTGTGCAGTGATAGAAGTAAAATGTGCAGTGATAAAATGTAAAATGTGCAGTGATAAAATTTGCTTTGATAAGTTGTTATAAGTAACACAAGAAAATGAGATAATGAGAAGAAAAACTGAACTAATCCGGCGAAACATTTTGAATGAGAATGATTTAATTGAAATTGAAATGATGACCGTCAAATTATCGAACGTCCGCACTAATAACATACAGTACTTATATGGTTCATCAGATGAACAAAGTCTCTCCCCAAAGATCTCTTTATGAGTTTGGAAGATGGAGTGAATGATACTTAAGATTTTGTAATTTCTGTATAATTTTCAGAAATCTATAGAATGTCCCCGCGCATTGCAGGAGAATAGGAAATGCCCTTTTATAGTGCCTAGATTACAAAATCGTCTGTGGGTGCATGCCCCTGGAACTCCTCTAGAGGTTTGTCACGCCTAAGCCCGTAAGCCGCCTTTCATTTGCCAGGACGAAAATATTTATTTTCTTCAGTCATGTTATTATGAAACTAAGCTGTCATAGATAGTCGTAACTGCAGGTGCTGTCAAGGCCGCCAAGAGGGGTGCAATTTGCCCTGGGACCCCAGTTAAAGGGGGGCCCAAATAAAGAATTGCAGTGAAATATACATAGATATAACTGTCAACTAGACTTCCAGAATGCAGGATTTGGCGATTTCTGGCACCTCAGATTTCAAAATTTTTCCGGGGGATGCCCTCGGACCACCTAATCATAGTGTTACAACATGGAATCACGAGAGCCCCCAAGTCAAAATTTGTCATGGGCCCCCAAATTTCCCTGAGTGCTGTGCAGTGTGAATTGTAGCCTGCTTTGTTGTTACACATTATTATAAGGGTGTGTTCAGAAATTTTCAGGGTGTGTTTCTGCTCGGCTAAACTTTGCACAAAAATGTGCAGTGATAAAAAATTCTTAAAATTAGGTATGAACCCAACTAGAGAATTGTCTTGTTCTCAATGAATGTGTTAACTAAGGCCACATCCTGTATGTATATATTTTGCGGTTATTGCCTTTTGGTATGATTTGAGCTTGTCTTTATAAGAACCGGATACAATGTCATCTGAGTTTCGTATAACGTAAACGGTCGTTGTAGACATTCCGGTATATAGGATCCAATACTCATTAAAAAACTCATTAATAATTCATGAAGAAAACACAAAGAAAAATCATAAGCGTGTCGTATCTGTATATGTGATACAGATTCATGTTGATTTACATAAACTTGAACTTTGATTTTCTCGGCTTAGACAACGTTTATTTTTAAAATTACTTCGCCAATGAACTCATAAGATGAGTCGTTTTTTAACTTGTTTACAACATTCGCGTCCGTGTTGTATCAGATATTCGGCTCGAGTTTGTATATCTGATACAACACGGCCGCTCATGTTGTAAACATTACATACAAATCAAAATTATTACTCTATCTCAAGAATATTTATCCTGTCAAACGCCAATTTCGCAAGCAACAAATTGGCAAATAATCAATAATTTGGCTAACATGGGAACCAACAAAATCCGGCAATGAGAATCTTATCAGGTTTTACTACTTAAAGCAATATGCGCAATCTTCTGCCAGTGATGTAAAACTCGGTAAAGGAAAGTATATAATAGATTGACAAAAAAGGGAAGTCTAGCTCTTTATAAGTCTATAGGTATAAGTCTCTTATGAAGGGAACTAATTAGTCTCTTATAATTAATTAAAGGGAAGTACATATACTGTTAAGTCTAAGAATTATATATTAGAGTGAACCTATTAATTCAGTGCTCCTTTCAACATGATCGAATTATGGGAGTTTTTAAAACACCAGAAAGTGCGTGCGTCGTACCCCCAAAAACGAGACAGCATAATAAACAATTTTTTTTTGATATTTCAAAATTAATTATAAGCTGTTTATTTCGAATTTATATTTGATTCATGAGGACGTTATATATAGTGCAAGGTATCCTGTAAGATTTTACATATGCTTTTTAAGACTGTAATGTATAACTGTTTGGTAACTTTGCCTTCTTCCTAAATAATGTAGTTCAGTGTAATTTGTTTTACTATATTGCATACATGATTCTTTTCTTGTCTTTAATACGTATCTTGAACTATCAAGTAAAACACCAAATTAGGTTGCTAGTATAGGTTCCCAGCCAATTTTGTTAAATATGCTAATTTTATATATTGATTGTTATGTATACTTGGCCCTTGGGTGGAAAAAGTAGAAATTAAATAAAAAATAACAATTTGGCCGCTGAGAGGCATAGATTCGAAACAAACTGCATGCATGCGATATAAATTGTGTATATGCGCACAACATTTATCACGTACCTCTTTCTTGGGCGTTTATTCTCACAATCTGATCAAAAATATTCTCGTCATCCGATCTTGACACGGCCGTTTGATTTTTTGTTTCTTTCCACATTGCCTCCCAGATCGCTTTATCATCTCCAATTGTTAACGTCTCTTGTGTTGGTACAGGGTTTGCTAAGCAAGGAATTGAAAACAGTCAAAAATTCTACATTTCTATTAGTAAATTATCTATTACCTTTACACTTTAGTTCAACTGAATTGCCGACGTCATTAATTGATATTAAGCAAGCGGTTTAATTCAACGGATATCCTTAATTCAAATGCATGACTTAGCACAGATGTTTTCCATTCAGATAAGTATACTATACAGCAAAATACAGCAACGTATAACATATTCACAAGTAATTTCGGGACACATTATTTACTGTAGCTATAATGCATTTTCATTATAAAGATGATCCATCAATTAGTGTCGCGCTTAATTCCTTGAAACTGTTTGGTATGAAGGATCAATTACACTCACTAACCTGAACACGAGTACATCCCGCACAGGAAGACAGCAAAGATAACTTTGAAAGACATTTTGTCGCCGTTTGCTACACCAATTCTTTAACTTCTTCTTGTTGTAAATATTCACAGGCACTGCGTCCAAATGAATTGTGCAGTGCAGCGCAGTGCGCGTGCTTATATAGTATCTTGATACGGGCTTGGCGCGCAAGGTCATCCTAATTTTGACGCACGACAGCAGTTTTTGCGTAGGACGAATAATAACAAATCACAGGGCGCGGATATGGAATTCTGCGTCACCGCGATGAAATCCAAATATGGACATTATCTATTGTCGGGTAGAGAATAGGGAAGTGAACGGGATAAATTTCGTAATCATTTAATTAAAATTATAAACGAAAGACTGAAATCGTTCAAGTTTTAACGAGCTTGAGTCTATGACGTAGGCTAGCTTAATTAAGGGACGTCCGTTGCGCAATCGCATGGGATAGTTCAAATTTTGCCAACCGACAAATTTTATGTTTGCGGGACTAACCCAATTAATTAATGTAGACAGTAAACTAATAAAATAATGATGACTGAAATAATGATGACTTAATTAATGATGACTGAAATATAGTCGAAACGTAGATAAATAAAAATGTTATCGATTTTTGGAGTTTCACTTGTTTTCTATTTTAATTAATGTAGCTTTAGTTTAAATTTATTGTAGATATTTATTAAGAACGCGACCTATCATGCATGTTGCAACGAAATATATAAATAATAATTGTACCGCCAACCGCTTCTGCGTCGCGCTACAATTGATACTTCTCATTCTCGCTCACTATTGACAGTTACAGTCCACCGTACAAAAAGCGCACGTAATCTTTGCGAGTTCGCCCTCTTTTCACACTCGTATCTCGTGAGTATACGCGGTATACACTGAGTATACCTGTATACGTATATGTACATTAAAACAGTTTCCAGCGGCAAAGTGGAAACTAGGCTAATATTGCCCAACTACTATTTTGGAATAAGTTGGAATTTTGGACTGATGTGACAATTTCGTTCTGAGAAGCGCACGACTTTAATATATGTTAATACATCTGTGATAATCGCCTGAACGAAACTCTGCTAACTTTATATTTATTTGTTCTAATAATAAAGTAACGTAAGAAAATACCTGTTGGAATGATAAAATTCGAAGACGAATCGGTGAATACACCTTCACATCCTGTATATGATTCATTAGGTTGCCTATCGAAGTCATTCATAATATTGCCTATATATATATTTCTCAATTAAAGCAAATGTATATTGTGCATGTGACTCGAATATTTTTGAAAGTGAACCTTATATAATTTGTACATATTTTTACAATTGTTTTAACTTTAATTGTTTTAACTTTAATTCCTTATTATTATTATAAAAACCTCTAAATTATAATTGAATAAAATTGCTTTAAATTTAACGGTTTATGTGGACGATGACTGAATTACTGATAGTTAACATGGTAAATAATTTAAACGATAAACTTTGATACAAATGATATGTCACAAGGTTCAGGATTTCAAGTGTTTCCGTAAACAAAGCAAGACGGGGTTAGGACACAAATACTCCACTCAACCCTATATATGGCTGCACTTGAATCACTTCATTGAGACCGTACTAAGGCGATGGCGCAATCATTGAGAGTTCAAAAAAATAGATAGGAAGCATCCGACGCCAGCAGATCTAGAGGTGACCTGTTTGAGATTAAATCAGTAACATTTGTATTAAAATTCATTTTAGAAGCAGAACCAGAGATTTTTCTAGTAAAGTTTACTGCATGCATTTTTCTTCAATATTTGTTATTTATAGTTTTTCCATCCAAGTAGCTATATAGGTTTAAATGATTTCATCAAATTAAACCTGCTAGCTAATGTGCCACGGTAAAATACTGATTCGAGGTAAATGTTGTTTCAGGTTTTTTATTTTCATAATCAAGAAATTGGGTCACAAAAACTACTGTTCATATATTATTGATATTTGTGACGCGTATTTCATGATATATGCTACCTGATATGATTGATATGTTCACTGAGAAAGACTAACAATATTTACATATTCGATCGTATAGTGGCAGGATTGTATTCGTATGTTTTTTACTAAGATGCTGTATTATTTTACTAAACGTGGAATTATTTTGGATTTAACAGTCTCCATTGAGACGCCGAAAACAACATGCGTGAATTAAGCGTGATTATATGAACTTCCCATGCAATGTTTTTATAATCCGTGGTCTGGTTTGAGCGCATTTGATGCAACTATTTCCTCGGATTGATCATTTGATTGATCGGTGTTTCTATGCTGTTGTGGTGACCCTGCCCTAGTTGGCGAAGCTAATAAAAACAAAATCTGCAGGGCCGTAGCAACCGGGGGTGGGGGGAGGGGTGGGTGGCTGACTGGGGGCTTTCAGACCATCACCCCTGACTAATCAATCCCCCAATACAAAATTGCTTCCTACGGTAGTGCATCTGTGATATTCTAGAGGTCCAGGTTCAACTTCCACTACCGCGCTACCGCTACTCAGTAAGGACCATTAAGCTATCGGATGCGTTTGATATGTCCGACTAACCAATCAGATGCGCATTAAATTAAAACCAAGCCAGTGTGAGAAGTTAGTATAGCCGGGATCGTCAAATCTGAACCTCTCTATCATTATGCATCATTGCAGTGTTTTACTGCTGGAATTCTGATTTATATTTCTGGAAAGGTACTTCTCATGCAGTTGTCAGCATTGGAAAACTAGGGAAAGGAAATGTCAAGTTCTTGATCGGTGTTTCTATATACACTGTATCTTGATCGTACATTAGTATATAAACCAATTGTAGAAACCACTTGAGCGATATACTTCGTTACTTCGTTTAATCGATTAAATCGCAAGCCAAAGTTTATACACATCAGAACCAAGTCTGTCAAATCTGTATCCAAGGTACTTGATCCGTACAGATATTGATTAGAAATTAATTTCTTTTCTGACGTAAATTAGTAATGACATATTAATTTCATTAATTAACATCGATTTTAACAATTAATTTATATATCGGTGCCCATGTATGCAGTATGCACCAAACAATAGTTTGGCAAACTGGCAAAATTAGGATATCTTTCATGCCATTATTGTTACCCTCGTCCCTATACAATCTATATTATATTGTATATTAATTATATAAATTTCTAAATGGAGTAAAATCTGAAGTATATATGCCTTGTATTGCATACAATGGTAATCACAGGAACGGGAAATGCATATTGCGCAACTACAATTTCGGAATGAATTTGGACTGTTGACAAATTCGTCCGGAGACTGACCGTGCAGACTTAGATGCTAAAATCTTCGATATTTTTCATTATTAGTATACTTGTTGTATATGCTTACTTTTGGCGAATGAAATAAAGCAATAAATAAAACTTACATTATACACTTGGGAATTTAACGAGATGTTATGCATCACAGGCGTGAGTTCGTGGCCGAATAGCTTGCGGTTTAGATTCAGCCGGGTTGGAGGCGCACGATCACATGTGCACTAGCAAATTTAGGAAGTATATTAGCCTATATAAATTCTGAAATGGGGTAAAATAGGAAGTGTGCCTTGCCAGTTGTTGGTAACCACAGAACGGCGGAAATGTATATTGCGCAACTACAATTCTGGAACAATTTGGACTTATGACATGCATGCAAACTCAACAAAACAAAACTCCTTAACAAAACTCGGTGATTTTTATATTTATTTGTACATGTGTACGTTAATAAAGTAAAGTAACGTAAGAAAACATATGTTGGAATCACTAAGAAAGACCACAGCTGAAGCCATTTGTAATATGCCACAAAATACACACTTCAAAGTAAGTGTGTGTATTTTGCGACTCGCGATTGTCTCTATAAAAATATTTTTGAAGATGCGCTTTTTTGTATACAAACTGCATGTGTCAATTTTCATTCTTGATTATTGTTTTAATAATATAATTGAAATTGCTTTAATTAAGTAAATTATAACGGAATAAGATCGCTTCCTTCTTTAATTATATTGTGTACGCTAATGAAAATGATGAACACTGCATGTGAGCATGTTGAACTGACATTTTACAGAATTTCAGTGCTGGAAAGTCGAAAGTGAAGCTATCGAGTCAACGGGGTATTCATTCATCAGTGTATTCACCACTGGTGCACAAAATATTTTCGCGACGGCTTGTCTTGGAGGACTAATTCTATTTCAGAACCATCTTCAGAGGTATGAAACACTATATAGTTTCATATCATTGTTGAAAGTTTGAAAACACAAGGTTGAAAAATCTTCAAAGTGTTTCCGTAACATTTCGCAACATTTCGCTAAGCGAGACTGAATTCGCGAAACACTTCGCTGAATTGCAGATCTGTGGCTGATATATTTGGGTGTGGAATAAGATTCATGAGTGGACACTTTAACATGGGAACGCAGAGTCCGCAGACGTATTTTCGTAACCTCGTTTGACCTTGTATTCATTATAATTAGACATGCGCTTAATTGCATGCGATATCACCTACACGCAGTGTTTTAGAACTGCTGGAATTATTATCTGACTGAGAAGGCACTTTCCTTTTTATCAGCATTGAGAAAAAAACCCCGTCAAATTCTTTTAGTAGGAGCAAACCTGCATGTTGATAATACCAGTGGGCCGGTTTTGAACTCTGATGAAACCATATTCGTCCCAACAGGAAACCTGAACAAAGTCATTTCTCATTTCCGATTCGAAAGTACTCGTCTGGCGGTCGGATACAACGATTGGCTACGCCTCTGTTGTGTGTTAATTAATTATTGCCGCGTAACTTCCAGTCTGAAAGGATTCAATATTTCTGAGTTCTGACTTGAACACAAACTAATTATAAGAGTTTCTATATTATCTTACATTTAAATGTTTTACATTAACAGCATCTTATAACAGCTATTAAGTCCTTAGAGAATGCAATATAAGGGGAGGGATCAGATCTTTTTTCTTTTTTTTTTTTTTTTTTTTTTTTTTTTGGGATTGCAGCCAAATCCACGATCAAGGCAAAATATTAGATATTCCGCGCTGTGATGGCCAGATCGTCAAATGCTAAGAAATAATGCCCAGATCCCCGAAATCCGAACGATTTTTCTGTAAAATCCGACGATTAGAAACCCCCCCCCCCGAATATAGAGATGGTGTACTGCTCTATATTCTTGTGTTCTTGAAATACTCTTCGGTTCTTGAAGTACTTTGTAAACGCATGAACAGGCGACCTGTATCTCATTTACGAGGCGACGTCATAGTAACTTAAATAACCAAGTGCTCCAACTATTTTGGCGAAACTCGGAAATCATGCAGGCTTAGAAGTTAGGAAATCAACTGCCATCACATTATTTCGAAATCAGAATCACAAAAATACCAGCGAAAGGCTTGAATATTGGAACATTCACTGGGGAAAAAATTTGAAATCCATACTATGAAATTTGCAATTATTTCGATACTATATCCATAGTATGAAAATATATAATTATTATGGATAATCAAACTCCATTCTATTTCCAATAAAGATCCTTACAATTTCCATTCTATGACAGTCTATGGATTTTCAAAATTTTTTCCAGTGATTGCGTCCTTTTTGTTGCATGCCATATAAGGCATGCAACATTCATATAGCTTAAAATTTCGTGTCGTGAGCGTACCGGTGGTCAAAATCACGTGGCAAATTCGTAATATACGACAAATACCGAGTTTTTCCGACGAACATTTACGAGCATTATAAGCATAATTATCTCTGCATAATTATAAATTTTGAATCACGTGAACTGATCTAGTTTTCGTCCGAGTTTTCGTTGAGCAACCACTGGGCTGTGAGCAACCCAAAGAAGAGGGTCCTGAAGGGAGGGGGGGGTCCCAATCCCATTTCCCACCTGAAATTTTGGCAAAATCCCAGTTCCAGTTGGATTTTTATTAGAAATCCCAGTCCAAGTTATTGAAATCCCAGTCAATAAAAAACCTTTATTTATCGGTAGAATAAACAGTTTTAAGACAAGCCACCGTATGTGCAAGTGGCAGACACTTTATGAAATAATAAGGGGAGGGGGGGGGGATCGTGCCGAAGGCACAGAAAATTTTTAAATTTGAATCCCGGAAATGGCATTTGCAGCATTCTGAGACATGCATAATCAGAAAACCCAGAATTCCGGGCGCCAGAATACGCCTGTTCGCAGGTAGTGCTGTGAATAATATAGTTAAGAACAAAAATCATGACCAAAGACACCAAAAACGGATCAAAATTGTATTTTAAAATACTTAAAACATAGAAAAATTGGGAATCGACTCGTATTACCTCAATCCCATTCCCATTTTTGAGAACTTCATTTCCCATTCCCAGTGGCCAAATCCCAGTCCAAGCAACCCAAATCCCATTTTCCCAGTCTAAAAATAGATCAATCCCAGTTCCCATTTTACCCCTTCAGGACCCTCAAAGAATATATTGATTGAATGATTGTTCGCCGAAGCTTTTATACATAATCAAGCGCCTTAGACGGTAGGTAACGCTTTGCTGTTTTTATTAATTTATATTCTGTTATTTGTTGTGATTTTGGAGCCGCTGTGCTTGCACTGATTATTTATCAGGCGCCATTAGCGTGAAAGGCTACGCTCTCAGAATACTCAAATTGAAACGGAGCCATTGTGCTCGCACTGATTATTTATCAGGCGCTATTAGCGTGAAAGGCCACGCTCTGAGAATACTCAAATTGAAACGGAGTCATTGTGCTCGCACTGATTATTTATCAGGCGCTATTTGCGTGGAAGGCCACGCACTCAAATTAAACCTTGCCATTGTGCAGGTAAAAAATGAACCTTGCCATTGTGCAGGTAAAAAGCAGCCCATTGCCATTGTGCTGGGATTATTGAGACTTTGCCATTGTGCAATTTTAAAAGAATTACAAATACAAACTGTCAAAGACAAATACTGGACGTACAGTACACTACTTATTGACAATTACTGTAACGAAACTATTTTATTCCAAACAGTGAGAGTGTGGGTGTGTCAGTTGAGATATACAGACTAAGAATTGGTTCACATAACAACTTTGTGCAAGAACGACAGTCCATGAATCAAATGAATAGGTAAATTTTGGAACCATATGTTAGTAATGTTCTACTTAGAAATATTTTATTTACCATGCTTGAAAAATCTAGTTACCAGGATTGAAAGTAATAATGAAGTTTGCATGTGGTATACACAAATGGTATCTTATCATGTTTATGTACCATTGCTATTGAGGCTTGCAAATGATGTGGAGGAAAATCCAGGCCCAGTTAACATCTATAATATTGTTGACCATAGTTTTACGGTTCCAGCAGACTTCAATCAAGGAAATATATCCATGTTTGGAATAAATGCTGGAAAACAATGTGTTGCCATGTCAATTTATGCTATTGTATACAATGAAATAAAATCTGTTAATATTTGGGATACACCACCTATGAACATGCTTCTAGTTAATGCAAACAATCTTTATGCCATAATTAGTCAACACATTCAGAAAGATTTCTTGTTGCTCACTGATGTTCCTGAAATATTGTCTATCAACAATGATACTTTTAATTTGGAGTACAGTGAGTCTTTTTCTGGTGCATTATGGATGGCTCGCAACAATGAACCATATGTTACACTTGAGCATGCCTTTCATGAAGTATTTGATGCTGGTAATTATAAAGCATGTTTACTTACTATTCAAGCAAACACTGTTGCAATTTTAATGCCTTTCCCAGGTGTATTTAAAGTTTTTGATTCTCACTCACGAGATATGCATGGAATGCCAGCGGCGATGGGTTATAGTGTTTTAATTTCTATTGAAGGAATTCAAAACCTTACAAGATTTTTTCATAACAGTTTAACTATCCTGGACAAAATAGTCAAAATACTCTTTTTGAGTTGAAGGGTGTTAAATGTCATAGAAACATTTCATTGTCCAATAGCTTGGATAACTCAGCAAATGACACATCATCAAATAACCATGAACAACAAACAAAACAACAGGAGTTTGTTATAGAAAAAGAAAATGGACTTGCAAAGCAAAAGGAGAATAAAAGACAACAAGAGTCTGTTGTAGAGAGCGAAAATAGACTTGTAAAGCGAAAGGAGAGAAGAAGACAAGCGAAACAACAAGAATCTGTTGTAGAGAGAGAACATAAACTTGCAAAGCGAAGAGAGAAAGAACCCAAGGGAGAAAAGACAACAAGCAAAACAAAAAGAGTCTGTTGCAGAGAGAGAGAATAGACATAGAAAGCAAAGAGAGAAAAGAAAACAGGCAAAACAACAAGAAACTGTTTCAGAGAGGGAAAATAGACTTCAAAAGCAGCGAGAGGTTCAAAAGGCAAAATGAAGCTGTCGAACAAAGAGAGCAAAGATTAGCAAAAGTAAGAGCTAATTATAAGGAAAATAAAAGTACACGCGTTCTGGAAAAAGCAAACAATGTCCTCCATCAGGTTCTCAAGGGCATCTCAATAATGATAACAGCTGCAGCTTGGTTTGTTAATACTAGTGAACTATATCGAGAACAAGGAATAACTTTTGATCAGCATTGGTTATCATACTTTGATGTTACAACACCTAATAATAATTACAATGAAAATACTACAGTTGATCAAACTAATTCAGCATCTTCAGAAGATGAATGGAGTGAAGATGAAGCAGAAATTCCTGCAGGTGTAACAGACAGTGTGCTTACACCTACTGATTTTGTAGATGATACTGAAAGACAACATATATACAATGTTGCACCTGGTGAAGGTAGTAGACCACTCAGTGTATTTAGAGATCAGTATTCAGAGGAACTAGCTTATCCAGGAATATTTCTGGGTCAAAAGCGGCCATATGAGAAGCAAAGATTGACTCATGTTTATTACAGTGAAATATGCAAATCTGAACTAAGACGGTCTGATCGAAGAGCTGCAATGTGTATTGAGAACATATTTTTTAAAACTAAAAAAATGCAGATGAAATTATTGCTGGGACAATCTCAGCTTGCTATTCGCAAGTGTAAAATGGGAAACAGAACACTTACTGCTGGTGAGTTAAAAACACCGGAAGGTTTAACAAATCTCATTTGCCATAATGAAGGATACAAATTTTTAAGAGCTTTGAGAGGTTCCCCACCTTACTTTGAAAAAGCCAAAAAGGATTTGTTTGCTATGATTCGGCAGTTAGGGCGTGCATCATTATTTTGTAGTTTTTCATCTGCTGAAACAAAATGGAATCATTTACTAAGAATCCTTGGTAAGCTTGTTGATCACAAAGACTATAGTGATGAACAATTAGATAATTTAAATTGGGATGAAAAGTGCAGACTAATTCAAAGTGACCCAGTGACTTGTGCAAGGCATTTTGATTACCAATTTAATACAATAATACTTTCTTAAAAGATTTTTTAATGAGTGATATTGCCCCATTAGGGAAACTTAAAGATTGGTTTTACAGGGTTGAATACCAACAGAGGGGCTCCCCTCACATCCATATGCTCATATGGCTTGAAAATGCACCTGTATTTGGTGTTGATAAAGATGAAGATGTAGTGAATTTCATTGACCAAATAATATCTTGTAGAAAGCCTGATAATGACACTGAATTATTTGATCTTGTACACAGACAAACTCATAGACATTCTCACACATGCCGAAAAAACTCCAAAAAAGTTTGTAGATTTAATTACCCTCAGCCTCCCATGAGATCAACACAGATACTACATCCACTTGATGACAATGCTTCTGAAACTGTCATAAGAGCCAGAAAAGAGTTGTGGAAAAATATTAAGAATAAACTAAATGATTTAAACGAGGGAGAAGATGTAACCTTTGAGCAACTTCTGAAAGAACTAGATGTTTCAGAATATCAATATATTCTTGCAATTCGATCATCACTAAATTGTCCAACAATATTTCTAAAAAGAAGTCCCAATGAATTAAGGATTAATAATTATAATCCTGCTTGCCTTCAAGCATGGGGAGCTAACATGGACATTCAATTTGCACTGGATGTATATGCCTGTGCAATGTACATTGTTTCCTATATTTCTAAGGCTCAAAAAGGAATGAGTGATTTGTTACGTAACGCATGTGCTGAAGCTAAGGAAGGTAATTCCACCATCAAACAACAGGTCCGTGACATTGGCAACAAGTTTTTAAACTCAGTTGAAATAAATGCACAAGAGGCAGTGTACATCATTCTGCAACTTCCCATGAGAAAATCTTCTCGAAATGTTGTATTCATTAACACATCTCCTCCAAGTGATCGTGTTGAACTATTGAAACCTCTCAGTGAGATTGAGAAGATGTCAGACAAATCTGAAGAAATTCACTCTGGTGGACTTCTGAAATGATATGTGGAACGACCAGACAGTTCAAAAAATATTACATTAGCTGACTGGGCAGCTTGGTACGACTCATCTGGGCTGAACAAGTCGACCAGACAGTTAAAAAAATATTACATTAGCTGTCTGGGCAGCTTGGTACGACTCATCTGGGCTGAACAAGTATAAGAAATCTGTTAAAAAATCAGATATTGACAACCTTCCTTTGGAAGATGAAGACGGAAATAATGATGATGACCTAGGTGTTCAAAACACTGAAAGTTGTGTTTCATCTAAAAATTCGATCAAAAAAAGATCGCAAGCAAGAATTATCCGCAGTGTTTGGTTTAACCAAAATCTCAACCAGAAAAACATTATCGTGAGTTGATCATGCTTTTCACTCCATGGCGAAATGAACAGGCCGATTTAATTGGAAATACTCTTCCTTTGAAGAACATTACGAAGCTCGTCGTGATGAGATCAGTGAACAAATGCAACAATATGCGGTTTGTAGTGAAGACTTAAATGAAATTTAACATCACTTACAAGAATGTGATGATGATGCGTATGACACAATAGCACCAGTTACACAAGACACTGAACGTCGGGATGAGAACGAAGGTAATACAGATACACATCCAGATTTAAATGAAACATATGATGTCTCTGAAGACTTGGGTATCCAATCAAGGTTAGCTAATGAACCACTTACTTTAAATGAAATGGAAGATGATGAATACCGACGTTTGGTCCAAATGCTAAACAAGAAACAAAGGGAATTTTTTTTATCATGTTTTACATTTAATGAAGATTTCTGGTGACCCATTTTATGCCTTTTTAAGTGGAAGTGGAGGAGTTGGTAAATCTCAGTTGATTAAGTCAATTTATCAAGCTGCTTTAAAGCACTATAACAAACGAGCTGGCGAAGACTTTCGTCGCGTTCAAGTATTGTTGCTTGCTCCAACAGGAAAAGCAGCTTATCTAATTAAAGGAAACACAATTCATAGTGCCTTATCAATTCCAGCAAGCCAATCGCTTAAAATTTATAAACCACTAGACTCTGGTAGGTTGAACACTTTAAGATGTGAACTGGGTGCATTAAAGTTGATATTACTTGATGAAATATCAATGGTTGGAAACAGTATGTTTACAATACAGTAAAATAACCGTTTAAAAGATTTAAAAGGAAGCAAAGACGACTTTGGTGGTGTTAGCATCATCACAATCGGTGATTTATTTCAACTTAAACCTGTAATAGATGGCTACATTTTCACTGATCTCCAGTCTTTAAACTATTATAGTGTTCTTGCTCCAAATTTATGGAAAAAATATTTTAGAATGTTTGGACTTGATAAGATCATGCGACAAAGAGAAAGTAAGATGTTTGCTGAAATCTTGAACAGGTTACGAGAAGGTAAACATACAACTGCTGATCTTCAAAAGCTGAAGGAAAGATGCGTTCCGGAATCGAATTGTCCTCAAGAAGCTCCACGCTTGTTTATTCAAAATGCTTTAGTAGACAAATATAATGAACAAGTATATGAATCATTTACTGATGATAGATATACAATTAAAGCTCAAGATAGTGTCATTGGGGCAGCTTCAGCTGAACTTAAGGTTAAGGAAAAAATAATGAGGCAAGTACCTTATGTTCAACAGTTAGCTCACAAGTTAAAACTTGCTGTTGGGCAACGTACAGAAGTTGCAACAAATGTGCGAACTGATGATGGTCTTACAAATGGGGCGAGTAACATTATAAAGTTGATACAGCTCACTGATGTGAATAAACCTTCGGGTCTTATCTGGGTCCAATTTGATTATGAAGACGTTGGTAGAAAAACTCGTCAAGAAAACAGAACGCTTTATGTCAGAGGAATTCAAAGCACATGGACACCAATTAAACCTGTCACAACCCAATTTCCATGCCAGTCGGTATAGAACGAAATCTGCTCAAGTTGTTAGAAAACAGTTTCCATTGCGGCCAGCATCAGCAAAAACTGTTCATAGATCACAAGGTGATACTCAAACACAGATTGTTGTAAACCTAAACAGCAACAGGGCTATTCCTCACATTCATTATGTTGCTTTAAGTCGAGTTACAACAATAGAAGGATTATACATTACTGACCTATGTGAAGATAAGATATCTGTTGATCAAAGAGTTGTCAAGGAAATGGAACTCTTAAGAACCGAACAAAGTTTGAATCTTTGTTTCAAACCACTTTATATGTTGGATCAATCTGATTTGAAAGTTTGTTACCTCAATGCAAGATCTCTGCAAAAACACATTGAAGATGTTCGAAAAGACATTAATTACTCTTCTATGGATATTGTGATATTTACTGAAACAAGGTTTAACTCCTCAGACACTGACGATATATACAACATTGATGGCTACAGGTTGTTCAGAAATGATGTTTCCCAAGGTACGGGTCCAGGACGTCCATACGGTGGAACTGCTGTTTATAGCCGAGTCCCTTTAAAAGAAGGATACCCTTATGCTCATAACGTTAATGGAATCGAGTTTACAATTATTAAAACAGAAAGTAATCCGCATCTGAATATAATTGGAGTATATCGCTCACCTGGTATTGCTACATATATCACGTCTACTGTCTTCACTACGTAGCGTACTTGATGAAGATTCTTCTGCACAAAACATTATAATTGGAGATTTCAATGTTAACTGGATGGTAGAATCTGATCGACAGTCACTTTACAATTTGATGGTTGTACAAAATCATTACATGCAACTGATAACAGGCTTTACAACCGACAACAGAACGTTAATTGATCATTTATACATAAGTTTAATTGAAGAGGAAATTGAAGCTGGTATTCTAGAAACTTACTTTAGTGATCATAAAGCAATATGGGCTTCTCTTAAGACATAGAAATAATAATTATATACCGTTCAATTAAGGTATCGCAAAGATAGCAAGCCATTGTCCAACTGCGAATGTTATTAAGGCAAGCCATTGCGCCACTCCCAGTGTTATTAAGACAAGGTGACAAGCCACTATCCACTGCCAATGTTATTAAGACAAGCCGCTGTGCCACTGCCAATGTTATAAAAATAAGTCCTTGTGTGGACGATGGCTACATTTAGGTAAGTTTTTTTTCTCTTTCCCCCTCTCCCTTCCCTGTGTTTATCTGTTTAATTGGGTTTTTTTTTCTTTTTTAGATATCTCTATACATTAACATGGTCACATTAACGATAACTTCAGTCAACAAAAGTACTCAAAATACAACAACTTTGGTATGTTGCTACGTCTTATTACCATCTAGTCATGTCACGAACAAAGCTCGGACTGTATGGCTTTTGAAATTCATGTTACATTATACATAATTGCATCCACTAATACTGTTGCATTAATATTTACAGATATCAGATGTATACAATAATATGCCTTTCATTTGCTTGCGCCTGGCAACATTGGTGGTTAAATTATATTGAATGATATCATCTTATGTCAATGAATATTCGAAAATGAAACAATTCAATTCAGCTACCAAAGTTAACACGTCTACAGTCGTGTCGTTATGTATTCCGAAAATTCAATGTGGAAGACTTGAAAATTAAAAAAGATGCACAGTACTTGAAGATACGACTTGGATATTTGTTGTACGGTACAGTACATTGCACCTCGCTCTGATACAAAAACATGTTAAAGCAAAACGCTGCTGAACGAAGTTGCACGTACAGTACAAAGAAAAGTTAACGCGGCAAGGAGGAATTGGTAATTAAGAAAGATGCACAGTACTTGAAGAAGTTTGCACCTGTTCGAATATTCATAATCGAGCCAACAACGTGCGTGAGTACCTGTTATACCAACAATGGACTTTAACATCTTCAAACTTAATTATTAAACTGGGTAGAACATGTACTATAATATGCAATAACACGTGTTCTATTGTCATAGAAAAGTGACTCGTCTTTTAGTTTTCACTAGCTGAATGTTCGTTATTTATAATTGACGTTGTCATTGAGTATTTTTGGCAAGTTTTGGAAATTGTGGAATGCGTTGTAATCAAATCACTGACTTATAGACTTATTTTATATATTGAAAAATTGACTGTAACCTATACTCTAATTTCAATTTTCTATATACAGTAGCCATAGTCCAAAATAAATCTTATTTAATGTTGTACTATTTGTGTTGATTATTATTATCAAACATTATCTATCGTTGCATTAGTTTACTAATGAAGTAAGTTTTCTACAGATGTCTCTTGATAGAAAGTCGTATCTCTGCAAGCCTAGATTTAGGCAAACATTTGCTTATAAGGGGGGTGGGGGTTGCTTAGACCCCCATCCCCCACGAAAACCTGTGCACCCCGCCCCCACAATGGTTTTGTAGATTAGTTATAAGGTTTTATTGGCATGCAACATGTACGCCCTGCGTACCTATTTTTTAGTTTTATGAACATATATTTAACAGTTTTCATGACATTTCGATTTCAAGTTGCTCTAGGGATGGAATGAAATACATTTACACGCATTAATCATTATTCATTAAAATATGCGGGGAACTTTGCTGTAGCTAATATCTTCAGGAAATCTTGAAATCGGTATCGAAAGTGAGCAGACATCAGGAAATTAGCTCCAGTGAGTCAAGTGATTTCGAAATCGCGTTGGACGGTCATGCCGGAGCCTCGTTCCTTTCAACCGAAAAAATCGAAGCCAAAGTTTATACAAATCAGCGAAATCTGTCCAACCTGTATCTGATTTACATTCATACAGATTGATTTTAAAACATTCATTTCTTTTGATGAATTTTCTAATTTTCTTAACGAATTATTAACTAGAAACTATCGCAAGGAAAGTGCTGCCTCACCCCCAAAGTCAAGGGTCAAAGGCAGCATGCGCGTGTAATATGCTGAGTAAGGGGCTCTATATATCATCTCGCTTTGCCAGTACGAGATGTGAGGCGGGATTATTTTGATGTATTGAAATAAATCACGGTGCAAAAACCGGATTGAGCAAAAAACCACATTTATTTTCTAGAGATAGATTCTAGTTAACTGTA